TGTGTACAAAATTACATTGGCACCGGACCTAACCGGGCGCCTTAAAATGCCTAAAATATAAAAAGATTATCTTTTACACACATAGCAAAAAATAAAAAGTGCTCTACAGAAATGGTTTCTAAACATTACCACATTTTTCCTTCAAAACTTTACTCACACCACATATATTTTTAGTATTTGTAGAATTGTAGAAATTCATTTAGTAATAACAATTTCAAATAATACTACTTATAAGACGTAGTATAATCATAATATTATAGATGTACTTGGATTTTATATTATGTTGGCTTAATGCCTTTATTAGTTTTGAAGTTGTTTTTATTAAAGTATAATAAATAAATTATACTGCTTAGGATATTTAAGGCTGTTGAAGTCGGTTTTTAAAATTATCTGCAGTTCCGTAAAATTTGAAAATTACATTTTATATTTTAGTTGCTACTTTAATTATAATACATTTTCACTAAATATCCACTGCCCGATACCTATTTACGGAGAGGTTAATACGGTGTATTATATAAAAAAAATGACTACACAGGAAACACTCTCGCACCTCGTGGATATGTCAGATTTTAACTTTTTTTTTTATTCTAAAGATTCGGATCAAAGCCTGAATTTTCACTTTACTTTGAATAGTGCTTGATAAAGACGTTTGAAAAATAACAAATATTGTGAATTATTCAAATGCATATTTTAGCTTTTATAATTATAATTTTGAAAATTAGGCTTTGATCTCTTTTTTAAATAGAAAAAAAATTAACGAAATCTGACTCTTTTACAGGGCGTGAGAAGACCCTGTAGCTTTTTCCTGTAAGACATGGTTTTGTTCTAAAAACTTACCGGCTCCGACACTATTCTAATTCATATTATAATTTATTAATAATTAATAATTTCTTTTACATTGAACTATGACTTGTGAGTTGTGAGTGACAGGGCTTATTCTAAGGATTTTTATCAACTACGCATTTTTTTTTTAATAAGCCTATAAAAATAGAACTATAATAATCTCGAAATGTAATATCAAACTAGTTAAAAATGATAATATTTTTAGTTTTATATCATTATTAGCTGGTTAAATTTATAAACTCAAAAAGGTGATTCACGATAAATATTAATATATGACTATAGTGACTACTCGTATCGAGGTAATATGTTATTATATGGGTCACGTGTCAGCAATTTATCTAGATTGTATAAGTTACAAATTGTAACTATTACCTACATACTTATTCTTTATTACTATTAGCAATGAAAACATTCAAACATCATAATTTATCATAATTTTAAATATTGTAATGATTTATTCATTTTTACTATTTATGAAACAGGGTAAGGAGACAAGACATGAAATACGGTATAACAACATAATATATAAATATAAGTAAAACATACTTCTATTTTGTAATCTGTACTCACTAGTCACTACTCAATAAAAAAATAATAATTTGAAAACAGTGTAGGTAGTATACAAATTTAGGTATATAATAAAAATTGATTGTGGGTATATGAATTTATTTAATATTTAAAATTAGTTCTAAAAATAATTGTCGTACAATTTTCGGTGGAAATAATAATAGTTCCAATTTACATTTTGAAATTCACATTGTGTTAGAATTCTACTAAATACTAATCAATAACAGAAAGTAATCAATCCGGGAATAATTAAAAGACTGATTGTATTACCGTTAATAAACTAATTAAACGAAATTAAATTACATCTATAATGTAATACGATAAAATTGCGTTTATATTTGTCACAATATCGTTATTCTTTGGTCTAGCTCATAGTTGTGTCCTAGATGTTTTAACTTTTAAATAATAGTAAATAGGTAGGTAGGTATATACCTAGGTAGTTTGTACACGTATACAAACTACTAACAGTATTCTTATGCAACGTTATCAAAGCACATAGACATAAACAACACCATTTGTGTTTGTAGTAGAAATGTAGCATTGATTATATATGTTGTATTTATAGTCAATGGTAGAATTAAACATTTAAACAAATAAAGTTACAAACATTTGATCACCTTAAACCACTGTGCTGTAAGCAATTTGGCCGAGTTGGAGTGAATTGTGAATAGGTGATAACTATACTTTTTTGTAGTAGGTATCTGATTGTTATTCGAGTTTCTTTTTATGATACTTGGTTTTATTTTAAACCTATTAGACGATAATGTGTAATATCGATATTTATTATACAGGTATAGTGTACTTAAATCGGCCAGTAGCACATGCCACATATATGATAATATATCTATTTAAATAACTTAAAGATAAGAAATTAAAAAATGTTTATTCCTTAACAAGTTAACTATATACGTCTATACCAACACCTATTATATTATAATAAAATAGTAATAATAATAATAAAATTATATATTATGTTAACGTTTGAAATTCACAAGTTAACGATACTCAATCATACAAAGGCTATAAGTATCAAATATTTTAAAAATTATTCAAAAAATAAGGTTTTATATTTAAAATCTACTCTTAAATTTAAATGTTGTGTAAGGTGTAATGTACGTATGATATAATTCGTAATAATGACTTTGTATACATCTAAATATATTGTAGAATTACTAGAATTGATGGTAATAAAAAATATAATTAATTATGTAAATTAAATAATTAATTCACCGATTAAAATATTTAAAGGAGGGTTATTATTTCTGGCATGTGTATATACTATATAAAATAATATAATATATAATAATATACATAATTAATGTAAAGAGACTTAGACCTGTCCGTCAAATTAATTGTATTGTTATGCAACGTTTTTTTTCGTTTGTACTAGCTTTGACACGCACACCCACAGGCTAACAACCTAAATCATTCAAATACGAAGGGAAAAACACTACGTTTTCTTCTCCGGGTTCAATTCGAATAATAACTAAAATAAATGAAAGGAAAAAGTTCTAATAGTGTTATCACATTGGCTTAGTTATATTGCGTGCTTGCAGTTTCTACTTACTGGTGCATTGTATACATTTTAGATTCTGAAAGGAGCTGCAGGTTTTTATAATCTAACATTAATTTTCCTATAATTTCTTAATTTCCTCTAAAAACTTTTTATTGAGCTGGAAAATACCATAGTTTCATACAGTTATTTTATGGATTGGAATTTAACAACATTTGTAGGTTATGTAAAAAAATAGTAAGTATTTCATAGTAGGTTTCTCAATAATTCTGAAATAATTGTTAAAACAGCAATACAAGTAAAACTGTGGAGAAATGTGTTAGAATATGATAGCCATTGCCAAATATTGTTAAGCTAAAAAAAAACGTATTACAAATAAGCCCAGTATTAGTCTGGTTACAAGTACTTAGGTAATTCATCGCAATAATTGTCAATTGATTGTTAAATATTCATAGATGGGCATTTGACCAAAAAATATGACTAGGTACTAGGTAGTTAATAGCTTAAAATTGTATCAAATATTCAGAATGAAAACACTTTTTATGAGCTTAATATTTATGATTGAATATCTCGTTTAGTTTAATATGTCATTGGTTTTTTTTTTTTTTTTTTTAATAATATTGCCATTAAGTAAAAATAACAAATACCTAACAACAACGGTTATGTTGTTGTGTAGTACTTATGTGTATCCATATACGGCTATATATATTTATTTATAATATGCAAATTGATTTCATTATATGAAACGATATTGCGCACAATATTATTATTATTATACGTTTACGTCGTTTCGCTGTGTACAGAACGATGTTTATTATTTTTGTCACAAACCTGAAACCTCACAATATCTTGTCCAAGCATTGTACGATTTTAATTTAATTTCTTAAAAAATATGTTAATAATACAATATAAGTACTTACACTTAGTTTAAATAGTTTTACCATTAAAGGTTAAAAAATAAATTCTTAAAACTCAAGGACACTCTAGATTATAGATATAGATGATATTATGCATTTTGGTTCACGATAAAAACACCACTCTGTATAATTTATATTATATTCTTGTTTGACACGGTTATTTAAGTGATAAAACATTGATTTTATCATTTTTCTACAGACGAAATCGACTATGTTCGTCCATACGTATACCTCGAGACTATTAAATATAACAAATACAACTATTTCTATGTATTATATTACACCGATATGTAAGTACCGACGTATGAAATCGTTATTTCGAAATAATAAAATGTGTAATAATGATAAAATGGATAATAATTAACAATATAGATATTGGACACCTTCGTAGGTATATTTATTTTACGAAAACGACCTAGTGCATAGTGGATAAGTGTATTGTAAATCTAGTCGATATAGTTTTGAAGACAGAAGTTTCGGAACAGCAACCAAAATAAGCCTTTTGTCAAGATAATATACGCCATACGCGTAATAATACGCGTAATCAGTGGCAAGCCGAAGGGCTCAATTTTGACGCAGTTACGTCAACTCTTCAAAGGGTGGAATCTCCGTGACTGTGGCGCAGAATTACATGGTAATTGTTAAGGCCCGACCTCTAGGCCGTTTCGACCAGATTTTTTTCAAATCATAACTTTGATATAAGTTATAATGGATTAGGTTAGTGGGTTAGTTGGGTGGTAAGTACTTAATTCTGAAAATGCGTCATTTAAAGTTATGTTCAGTCCGCCACTACGCGGAATGTAGTAAAATTTTGTATAGATGAGAAAATTAACTGTGTGAATGGCGGTTGGCAGTGACACCGTCGCTCCATCTGCCGGTCAACTATGTTCGGCGGCCCGGGGGATTACGTGTGATAAAACGGCGATCGACTTTAGTTTCCAATGAGAATGAGTCATTGCGAACGCTATCAAGACGGAATTAGGCGATAAAAAAAAAAAAAGTAAAAAATAACATTTAAAACAGTAAACATTGCTTTGTAAGAATTATAAATTTAATTAATAGGCGTTGGCGAAGAAATCGCTCAACAAGTAACCAGAACCGCTTTGTTAATCGTTGATCGTTGATCGTTTGAGGCCGACACACGTCGTTTCTTCGAGATCATGGCCGCAGTGATGAACAGACCGAAAGTATGTGTTGTGTCTTTTTTTTTTAATGTTGTCCGTCAGTATAATATCCTAATTTATGACTTGTGTTACAGGTGGACGAGACCAGCAAGTCTACTATGCGCACCCTCAGCCTAAACGGACATGTAGGGTTCGACAGCATGCCCGACCAGCTAACACACAAATCTGCTCAAAACGGCTTCGTGTTCAACATACTGTGCATTGGTGAGTTTGATTATTACACAATCAGACGATGGACAGACGTACGGCGTGATCTTATATCTGACATGCATTTTTTGTTATGTTTTCAGGCGAAACGGGTCTGGGAAAATCTACGCTTATGGACTCGCTGTTTAACACCAATTTTGAATCCACCCCGTCCACACACAATTTGCCAAATGTGAAACTCAAGGCTCACACTTATGAGTTGCAAGAGAGCAATGTTCAACTTAAGGTACCAATGTTGGGTATTATTATTCTTTACAAATCAATGTTGTTTATTAGACACTTATAGACTCACTTCATAACACATTTGGTTATTAGTAACTATTTACTAAAATGGTTTTTTTATAATGTAAAAGAGAAAACCTTATGTGAGCCTTTATTTTACGTTCGGTTATTAGTGGAATAGTACATTTGATTTAAGTGTAGTTCATATTTATGCATATAAACAATATACTGCTTTACTCATAGTAACCAAAATATAACTGTTTTAATATATTTTTAATTCTAAACATAAATCTAGTAAAACTTATGTCTAACAATTTAATCTATGTTCAAAATGTGGATGTTTACCAAACTAAATAGAGTTTTAGATCCAAATAAAAGTGTAGGTAGAATACTAATTTCTAAATTTTGTCTAGTTGGCATATTAAACAAGTACCACAATTTGGAGTATACATTGACAAACTAGTTTTTTGAAATTTACCATATAAGGAAATATGAATAATTAATGTAACCTCATCAACTCATTATAGTTGTTAAGTTTTATTGATGTGATAACTATATAAAGTTTTCAATTTATAATAATGAAAAGAACAAATATCACTGTCAATTTAGTTATTTCATTAAACTGCAATCAAGCAAATTATCTAACGTTAACAAATAAATATTAATGTCAAATGTATCTAGCAGAACAACAATTATAATAATCATATTATTACTAATGGTGTTTTAATTACAATATATTTATTTAGTTGACGCTTGTCGAGACAGTTGGTTATGGTGATCAAATAAATAAAGAAGACAGTTTCAAATCTATTGTAGACTACATTGATACACAATTTGAATATTATTTACAAGAAGAACTAAAAGTAAAGCGTTTGCTATCAACATATCACGACACGAGAGTTCATACCTGTTTATATTTCATCTGTCCTACTGGTCATGGGTATGTTGTAATCTTAACTTAAAATTTACTTCTGTGTTTACCAAGTGATTTAAATTATGATAGGTTAACTGAATCAGTAACACATAGTTTAATATATATAAAACTATAACCTATACTTTGTTCTTCGAGAGAATGTAAGTACTTCGTGTATGCCTTTGGATGCAGAGTACTATGTGTTATACTTTGTGTGCTACCACAATCTTACGGCAAAAGGAGTATACAATATTTTAATGGTCATCTATTATTTTATCATGATAATATTTAAATTTTTTATTGGTATTTTTAATTTCACATTCTGTTACACCAAATTTTCTGAAAATATTAAAAAAACAAAAGGAAAAACAATAGATAAATCACTTGGTATAAATCAAAGTCTTGTAAGCTACTTAATAATTATTAATATTATCATCTTGTGTTTATAGATTAAAATCAATTGATTTAGTATGTATGAAAAAACTTGATACCAAGGTTAATGTGATTCCAATAATTGCCAAAGCAGACACTATCTCTAAGTCTGAATTACAAAAGTTTAAGGTAAATTATTTTCAGTACAAAATGTTGTCTAATATGCTACCTATCATTGTTATCTTTTCTGCAGTAATTATACATTGGTTTATTATGATGTTTACAAATTAAAATTATACATTACCTTAATAAGTTAATAATGTAGTAATTTTAAAATGTTTCCTTCCTAATCTTAAATTTTACTATTTTTATTAACTTTTAACCTAATTGATTACTGTTCAAAACGTTCTTTTGAAAATTGAATTTGTCCATTTTCATGTTCAATGCATTGAATTGCATTGCTATCGTGTTCACATTTTTTTATATAAAGAAACAACACAATCGCTGGTCATTCATTTAAACTTTTATTTTATAAATCTTTAAATACAACTGAGAAGGTGTAAATATTTTTTAAATAGTCTACAATAATATATAATTAGACAATCTACAATAATAAGCAGTTTTTGTGAACATAAAATTTGCTATGTTGTATGTTTGTAAGACTGAGACACACTTCCGTTTGTAGCATTTTGTTAATAAATTGCAAAATAATAAATTATATGTAATGGTTAAAGACGTATTATACAGCCATTTAGGTAAAATTTTACCAGAAAGCAGATTTGAATTTGTCACTAAATTATCTATGCTTTGACAATTTCATATTTCTGATTTTTATTTATTTTTACTAAGAAATTTATAAACAAAAAGAGTAAAAATAGATCATATTCATAATTCAAATTTAAAAAAAATTGATATAGCATATTAAAAATGTATGACAGTTAAAGCATAGTAAATTTAGAGGAGAATTCAAATCTGCTTTCAAAATTTAAATCAGAACATCCTACTGAGCATAGTGATTGAAGTCAGTGGCAGTATTTTTTGAGAAAAAAATGTTTGTAATTTTACAAAGTAATATGTGGTGACATAAGCATAAAATGACAGACATATATACCCAGTCACTATGATGCCCATATACAACGTGATCCGTACTACACACACTAATGTTCATTTACTTTTAACACATTCAGAAGACCCATATCAACTGATATATAAAATGCCTAGTTTTTACTCCTTAGAATGGATTACGCTCCAGCCCCCTTAATACTCATTTGTATGTACTTTGTTCTATCCTACCGATTTACCTAATAATGCCACAATTGTTTTAATGTCTAATTGAGATCGTGAGTCCTAATCTTAGGATTTCTGATTTAAATTTCGAATAAACAACATTTGAAAATTCAGAAATTTTGAAGTTGGAAAAGTGTACTGACCAATCTTAAGTAGACATAATAATGAACTCAAATCAGTTTTAAAAAGTATTTTTGCATTACAAGGTCGTTAAAGATTGGTATGTTTTAGCTAAAAAAGTGTCAGCTACCGACCCCCCGAAGTATAAAAATTACATTATTAATACATTTTTTTTAAAAACTTACATAATTTAGACAAAAATAATCACTGAATTGCGATCAAATGGTGTAGAAATCTATGAGTGCCCAACTGAAGATGAGACTGTAGCTGATGTCAATTCTAATATGAATTCTCATGTACCATTTGCTGTTGTTGGAAGTACAGATTTTGCCAAAGTTGCAAACAAAATGGTGCGCGCTCGTCAGTATCCATGGGGAACAGTTCAAGGTTTGTAAAAAGTATAATTTTTAAATTATTTATATTTATTCTTTACGGTTATACTAACTTGTTTTAATTATGTTGACAGTTGAAAATGAATCACATTGTGATTTTGTTAAGCTGAGAGAGATGTTAATTAGAACTAATATGGAAGATTTGCGAGAAAAAACTCACGATAAACACTATGAGTTATACCGAAAAATGCGCTTGGAACAAGTAAAATTTAAATTTAATACATATGAATCAATGTATAGTGTTAATATCACTTATTTTTTAGATGGGCTTTAGTGATGTGGACAACGAAAATAAGCCACTAAGCTTCCAGGAATCTTTTGAAGCAAAGCGTAGTCATCATTTACAAGAGCTACAGAACCGTGAAGATGAAATGAGACAAATGTTTGTTGTCAGAGTAAAAGAAAAAGAAGCCGAATTGAAAGAAGCTGAAAAAGAGGTAACTTAAAATGTTGATTAAGTATGTTCAAGAATGTGTTACATTCTGTTACAATTCACCATTTTGGTGGTACAAAGTTTCAAGTCATATTCACTATTCAGTTTGAACTTCATTATATTATGATTAATAACTCGGATTCTATCAATTTAATAAAATATTACTTTTTTGATTAAAATGATATCCAATGTGTACAAATAAACATACAATGTACCAGTAAACTGAAGAATTTACAAAGTACAAACAATACTCAGAATTCTTTATGACTGATAACTGAAAAAATACTATTAATACCAAATAATATTGAAAAATATATAAATTGCACTATCTGTATAAAATATTAAAATGAACATAAATAAATTAATTGTGCAAGTAAATGTACTATAATCAATTTATTCAGTACTTCCATTATATTGTCAACCCACTACTCATAACGCATTGGTCAGTAATTTAAGAATATATATTTATATATATAATAATATATATTTATTTTTATTGGCAAATAATAAACATCAACTCAAATTACTGACCCTAAAGTACAATTTTTTGGCTCAGAATTATTTCTAAATATGTTTTAGGTTAGGTTAATCTGTTTAATATTTCTAATAAATGTTGAGTAATGTGTGCAAGTATGTTTGTTTCATGATTCAAATAAAATTAATTATTATTTAATATTGTCATTCATAATTTATTAATTAGTATAATAACATTTACATTAACAGTTAACTAATCGTTCTGTATGAGTCATAAAACATTTTATTACTTCATAGAATTCTTAATGTCAGAATGTCTCAATAGAGCATTGACACTGTATATAGCTGTATTTTGATAAATTGAATAACATAAATAACATGAAATTAAAGGTGATAGGTAAACTCAAGTAATCTTGGTGGTTTTCGTTCAGACAATTAATTTGTTAGTTTTTTTGCTGTTAACTAATAGTTAACTTAAATATTATAATTATGTAATTTTTGGTATCCTTGTATCCTTTATAATACACATTCAAATTATAACTTGCTACATATGTACATTTTACACTAGAATACTCCTTATTTATTAGTTAAAACTTGTTGCCATGTTTTCCATTTTATGGGTTTTCTAGCCTACTCTTAGCTGCATAATTATTTTAATAATTTATGTTATATTGTTCAGTCAATATTAAACTAATTTAGTCTACTAATGTCTAATAGTATTTTATACACCACTTAGAATTTACTAAGTGTTATTTAAATGGGCTAACTAATTTAGTTAAGTCTATTTAAATATCAAACCTTTTGAATTATATTAATTAACATAGTTACTTGGTTACCAATTTTAATTTTAGTTTTAAACTATATAAACCAAGAGAGTATTGTCATACACACACAATAGAGTGCGAGTTTCCTTAATAATTGCTTGACTAACTAGAAAATATAAGTAAAATTAATTGCTGAATAAGTCTTAAGAATAATTTTACAATTGTATGCTAATTTATAAAAGTATAATATGACATTTTGATTTTACTTTTGTAGTATCAAAACTTGCCTTGCAAAAATAACTTTTATACCTTGTGAAATATTCAGGTTTTGATAAGTACATTTTTATTTTAAATATGAAGATATGCATATTGTATTGTATTGAACTCTAATTAAAAAAAATATATTCTTGCAATAATCGTCCATATGTCATATATTTTAGAGTATTTGTCTGTCATTGTTTAAAGTTAATTTGAGAATAAGAGTTTAGTGCAGCTAGAATAAAGTTTTCCACTTTAAAAAAAAAAAAATATCAGAATCTGACGGGTCAATCCCTTAACAGTTTTTGATGGTTAAAATGGTTTGATTTGATTTTTTTGTTAGATTTATTGTATGGCTCCCTCAATACATAACTTAATTTTACTATAATATGCCTGCATTTTTGGCCCATTAAATAGTCATTTGCGACAATTATTGACATAAACTGATCCTATTATAATAAGTTTATATTTGTTAACATTTTCTGATGTAAATATTCATCTTTTACAAAATCATTACATCTAATATATATTAGTTGGTTGCATTATGCTAATTTTTAGATTAATGTTATACAAGGAATTTTAAAAATAGCATTGTTCTCCATTATATAACCATATGTTGTTAAACGATATTATTATAGTTGTATAATGTACATAATGTCATAATTTACAATATTACAAATATTAAATTAAAATTAACTTACGATTGTTCCTACTTCACGCTCTGAATAATAATTATTGTTTGATTTTTAGAAGGGTCTCTCAGTTTGCATTATATTCAGCTTTAATCAAAAATGTAGTATTGTATGCATTACTTATCTCTGATCAATATTTCATGTTCTTTGTTTTAATAAAAGAATGTTTATATTATTTATTTGTTTTCTAATGCTGATTTAATGGTTTATGAAAAAAATGTTTCATAGATACAAATTATAAAACATTACAACTTAATAACTACCAAGTATGTAATGTACTTGGTAGAAAATGTTTATCATACTATATATTGGTATGTCATTATATAAATTACAATATGTGTATACAGTATACACATTACACATATATCATATTTCTGTTCAAGAATTTTTATATTAAATAATATAAATTTATGAATTACAGTTACATGCCAAATTTGATAAACTAAAACGTGATCAAGATGACCAGAAAAAGAGGTTGGAAGAACAGAGAAGAAAGTATGAAGATGATCTTATGGAGTTCAGCAAAAGGAAGCAGCAGTATTCTAGCATGGGACATCATACTCTCACTTTAGGAAAGAGTAAAAAGAAATAAATATTCTCTCAAGACGAATATGGTAAACTATTATTATTTTAACTTTATGAAATGATCATATATATTATCATAAATTATTTTACTTTTATTTACTAGACTAATACACTTATTAATATATCTATTCTATTAATAGATACTGATTAATGAATTTATAATTACTATTTTGCGTGAGATTAATCAATCAATGTGATTAATAAATAAATTGTAGATTTTTGGAATGAAAATTACATTTTTAACATTCCAATAGTATAAAATTTAATGTATGCATAAAAAACATAACTATTTTATAGTTATTACTATTTGCTACAATAATGTTTTATCACAAAAAGTACCTATATAATATTGTTACATGCTATATTATATCCAATTCTTAATATATGCTATTTCCTTTATTTTAATATGAATAGGGTTTATTGGACATAAACCTCCCCATGGCTATATCTAATTATTTTTATACTCCTTTATTTGTTATTATTTTTACCTTTATAAAAATAAATCAAAATCCATAGTTAATAATTTATATTAAATTATATTTTTTAGTCTTATGATAAAAAATATAGTGGACATCACAATTACTTTTGTTTGTGCCAAATTTTAAATGAATTGAGTTAAAAATAGTACATGTTTGTCTTCCTAAAAAGTTTTTCTTTACAAATTATAAAATAGTTTTACATAAAATAAGTTTTAATCTTATGAATTATTTCCATTTTTTTTATTTTGTAATTGATTTTTTTTTTTAAGGTTGTGTTTTGATTTTTATGTGCACATTTTTTTCTTCAATTGTTTGTGTTAATTTCTGTATTGTTTGGTTGGGAAAAGTAAGATTATAATTGTGTAATTTGGGTTTAAAATAAATTTTTTACGTTTATATGTACCTAGCAGATAAAATATTAAATATTATTATCAAATCTTAAAATTTTGAATGTTCTAATATTTGCATTTATGTACATGGTAATTGGTATTTTGAATATGAAATATTTTATTTATCTTAATACCAATGAACTATTTATTCTCAGTGGTTTATTTAGAATGATACATTTTGTGTTGTATAAAACTGTAGTCCTTATTTTACTTAATAATATTATGTACTTGACCTTTCATTTTTGTCCTATTTCATATACAAATATTGTATACTTATTAAAATTTGTATTCAGATTATGTATAGAATTTTTCTGGTGTGATCTTGTTAAACATTTTTACAAAAAGATAACAATATCTAGACCATTTACTGTCCTCGTTCAGAAACCGTGTAAATTAAATACTACCAGATTATATGCTTCAATTAATTTGTAAACAAATACTGTGACTCACTAATGTGTTGTAAACTGATTTAGATATAGCAGTTTAATGGATTTTGTTATATCATCAATGTGTGTAATCTGT